CGACCCATGCTCACCCCTAGTTCCTCGTACATATAATAGTTATTTTCACCTACAAAACAAGTTTTACATACCGTAAAATAAAAAGTTAATTTTTTCACCCAAATAAAGTGCGAAAACAAATGTACGCTAATACAATTATATGATAAGATATGCGACATACATACCAAGATAATTGATAAACTGCGAAACAGTTATGCGACAAACTGGGGAACATAATTGAAAATGTGAAAATAGTTATGTGACAAACAAACGAATATAATTGATAAAGTGTAAAATAATTATACAATAAACTATGCAACAGACAAACCGAAAATAATCGATAAAGTGAAAAATAGTTATGCGATAAAATACGCGACAAACAGGCGAACATAATTTATAAAGTGCGAAACAATTATGCGATAAATAGACAAAGATAATTGATACGAAAAACTATACAACATAATGAAAATAATTGATAAAGTGTCAAACAATTATGTGCTGAACTATGCGTAAACAGGCGAACATAATTGATAAAGTGCGAAACATTTATGCGATAAACTATGCGACAGACAGACGAAGAAAACTTATACGAAAAGATCTGCGACAGACAGACGAATATAATTGATAAAGTACGAAAACATTATGCAAAAAGTTATGCAACCGAGAGGACAAGATTATTAATAAAGTGCGAAATGTTAATGCTAAAAGATATATGACAGATAGACGATGATAATTGATAAAGTACGAAATAGTTATGCGATTAACTCTGCAACAAACAGGTGAAGATAATTGATGCAAAAAGTTATGTGACAGATAGATGAAAATAATTGATAAATTGCGACAAAGTTTTTTTTATGCAAACTCATTTTTTTTTAATTCAAAGAGAAAGATGAATGAACAAATAACTACTCAAATATTCATAAATAGCCCAACAAAAAAAATATAAAGAAATCCCAATAAATTTCCCAATCTTTTCTTCAATGCATCAAACTTGAAATTGCCATGGCAGAGTCCTCAAATCAACCTCATCTTGGACCTTTCCACTTCTCGCCGCATAACTAATGGTATTTCCAAAATCATCTCTCCTATATGCAGCCGACAGGCGAAGTTAATTGAGCAAGTGAGAATTACTTATGCGATAGATATGCAAAGTTCATTGAGCAAGTGTGAAACAAGTTATGCGATAAAAGCATGCAACAAACATGCGAAGATAATTGAGCAAGTTCGGATTACCTATGCGATGAACTATGCGACAGATAGACGAAGTTCATTGAGCAATTGCGAAACAAATTATGCGATAAAGTATGCAACCGACAGGCGAAGTTAATTGGGCAAGTGTGAATTACTTATGCAATCAGCTACGCGACAGACATGCGAAGATAATCGAGTGAGATCTCATTATGTGATAAATTACGTGACAGACAGGTGAAGATAATCGAGCTAGTACGATATCATTATGCCATAAACTACGTGACAAACAGGCGATTATTGATCAAGTACAAAATGTTTATGCGTAATTGCGTGAAATAGAGGCGAAGAAAATTAAAAAAAGTGCAAAACATTTATATGATAAACTACAAGACATACCGGTCATGATAATTGATAAATTGCAAAATATTTATGCGATAAACTACGCGACAAATAGATCAAGATAATCAATAAAGTGTAAAATAAACTATGCGATAAACTATTCGACAGATAGACGAAGGAAATTGAGTAAGTGCTTATGATGCAGAGAATTGTGTGAACAGTTCGGTCAATCGTGGGTCTTTCACAGATCAGCTTATTGCATTTGTTTTTGTATTTTTCCAGCTTCTTCTCAGCTATCAACTTTTCGTGTAAACCCTAGAAAGGTCGTCCTTTCGGGAACGATGTACCAGAAACACGTGAAGGAAGTTTTCAGCACCTTTATTCCCCCAAAGTTTCTAAGAACAGAAATCACCAAAGCAATGATGCGGAGGATCGTGGGTCGGGCCAAGATCAACAACTGGAGGAAAATGATGAAGAACGATAGGGACGACGACCGACCTTAGGCTACTTCGAGCTCCCACCAGCGACTGCCAAGCCCGATAATGTTTTGCTGGCAGATTTCAAAAGAGGAGGAGGTGTGTTGAGCTTGGTCGTCTGTTTCATAGGACCGAGGTCCAGTAGATTGAGCTCGACTGGAGGTCAATGGAGCCTTCCTCTAGCTACCAAAAGAGGTCGACTTCAAGAAAGAGAAGATAGAATTTGCATAAGCCAAATGGTTAATTCAGGTAAAGGAAAAAAAAAAAGAATACAGATCAAAAACCACTTGAGTTGTTCCTACCAAAATCGATAATAGGAGGTGTTCTCCTCTTGATAAAACCACAATGAGATAAGAGCTTCCCATTCTCGATTAAAAGAATAGAATTTATTGAGAGTTCGTTCCAAGACTCGATGAGTGCATCCCAAGTGTCATCAGGCGCGGGGGTGCAAGTCGGAAAGGTAGGTCGGTTAACTACTCGCAGGAAAAGAAAAAAGTGTAGTAGGTAGGATATAGAAAAAATAGTTTTTCTAAGCACTAATGTTGGAAGGGAGGTCCCTTATGAAGTTAGTGTGGTTAAGATTTATTAGGTAAGGAATTCTTTTTTGAAACTTAACTCCATAACAATAACTAAAAAAGTTGATGCCAACGTGACCTACCTACAATAGCACAATATGGCAAAGACTATCATTATTCTAATAGAGTTGGGAGGAAACTTGTTAATGGGAATATCTCATATATCACAAATGGCCAACAGCTCGGCACGAACTGAAAAATTAAGCCCCCCCTCAATTTTATCACAAAGAAATGTATAAAAAACTTCTAGGAAATATGACATAAGTGTGTAAAGTCTCGGGGATAAGAAACTCAGAGGAGGTCGGCAGATCGATAAAAATCTTAAAGTGTTCTAACTAGTCGGGTTGACGTGAAGGAAAAAGGATTCAATTTTCAAGCTACTGAAGTTAGGAGAGGTACGGAGCAAGGAGAGACATGAAGGATTGGTCGGCCGAGAATAATGGAACTAGGTCCCTATGCGAATTGGGAGGCATAAGGTCGGGAATCACTGCGCCTAACCTCTCGTCTCAATCGATGTCCTCCACAGGTTTGTCAGTTAAGCGCAATGGTCGATAATAACCCCAAGGGAAGGGGAAGAAGAAGGCAAGGTTGAATGCCCATCAATAAAAGCGCTGTTGGAGTTGTTGGTCGCAAGAGAATCTAACAAAGTGTGTTCCAAAGAAGAAAATGAGTTCTTGAAGGATAAAAAGAACATGATTTAAAAAAAAAAAAATAAATAAAAATAAAAAAAAATAAGGAGAATATTTGAACACTATTAACAAGAAACTTACGCATTGTCAAGATTGACGGAAGTTGATCGGCGATGTTAAGACGGCAGTGGTCAACGACGAGGTAGCAACAAAGAAGATCAACGGATTTGCAAAAGAAGTATGAGAATTGGATAAAGTAAAAAGAGGTAAGATAGAAAAAAGGAGGTATTCATAAGAAAAAAGAGGGAAGTCGAGGAAATTGGTCGAGTAGGATCCTCCGTTATGGGTGAAGATATACAAATGATATTAAAAGAGGAAGGTGAGGAGGTGAATTGACCTGGACCATCACATGGGATTAGTAATGGGCAGGTAAGATGGAGGTAGCATTAACGAGCACATAGTTTAAGATGGTAGAGAGTTCGAGGCAATGTCAGATGATTTCAAAGGGTGTCAGGTAATTTAAAAGTTTGGATGAGTGGTTTTAAGCGGGACTCTTTTTTAATTTCAAAATTGAAACTCTACTCTGAGGTCGAGCTAGCTTGACTAGAATAGAGATAGAAGGATAGTAGATAATGTGGTATTATATTGACCTGTGGAGCTCATATAACTTGGAGGTAGCTCAATTGATTAGCTACTTGCGGCAGCTCGTTGTCAACCAATTACTTGAAGATACCTGGTTCTATCTTAGGTCAAGTCATCTTAACTCAGCTAGAGTGGGGGGACTATATGACATATTATATCAACTATTAGAGCTTGTATGACGTGAGTCGAATGGTTTGAGTGGACCGGTAGCTCGATTGGAGGTCGGATAGCACAAAGGCTTAAGGTCAAAAAATGTCAGGTCCAGGAGGTAAGGACAAAAAGTCGAGGTAGAAATCTAGGATAGTCTGATGAAAACTCTACCTGGAACCGAAGAGGTCGATGGACAATCTCAAAGTCAGACTGACTCAGCAAAGACCAAAATAGTCAAATATAGAAGGAACCAAGCTATTTAGCTTGACTGTCTAAAATGATTACCAAATGAGGTAGAACAATGTAAACACATCAGATATAGATAAATATGATTGGCCTGTTTAGACACTCAGGCAGTCACTCCAGCAATTATATCGGGCGGATCTTGAGTAACAAGGTGATAACTTTATATAAGGGGTGATGTATGATCATCATTCTTTTTTTACATTTTGAACATTCTAAGCTAATATACTTGCATATACATCATCACTTCCAAATACTAATATAGGTATGAACACGACTAGGATAAGAAAAACACGTGGATAACAGAATTGCTTGAGAAACAAGATTGGACAATCCGGGCACCGAGGCAGTATAACTGGGCAGTTTGAACACTCAAGCAGTCACTCGAGCAATTAGATTGGGTAGATCTTAAGTAACAAGGTACTAACTTAATATAAAGGATGATGTATGATCATCATTCTTTATCTACACTAAACATTCTAAGCTAATATGCATACATATACATCATCACTTCCAAATACTAATATACATACATATATATCATCACTACCAAATACTGACTTGAAAGTCAGAGCTTCTAAGCAGAGACAATCCCCGACACTGCTTTGCATGCCATTCTTTAACAGTTTGAAAGATGTCGAACCCGATCGAGATTGTTTACACACCAATTACTCTTTTACTAACTTCCACAAATTTATCATTATTAATTTACTATTTTTATATCACGTCCATTTTAGAATATTATATTATATTATATTTTATATTTCTGAACAAAATAAAAAAAATGAATTATTCATTCTTCATCCCCAATTGTATTCCACATTATTTTAACTTTTTATAGGGAAATATCTTTTTTCAAAACAATATAATATCGATTGCACCGGTAAAACTATAGGTGTTGGTGGTCATTACTCATTCATGGCAGGCAAAATCAGCAAAAACTCAGCCTAAAACAAAAATGCCAAGCACTCCCCAGAAAACACAGCCCATTCATCAACCCAAACAGTAATGATTTTTTAATAAAAAACCAGAAACTATATTATAATCATACACCATCAAATATGGAGTCCTAGCACAAAGTGTACTTATAGAAATGCGTCCTTCTCAAGAACTTTCCCCACGTCATTCTGGTTATTTAGCTTAGCCACCTCAATAGGCGTTTTCCCATCCAAGTTTTGAAGAGTGCTGAAGAAAAAATAAAATATACACATAATTAAAAGGCAACGATCAGTTAGTTGTCTTGAGAAAAAAGCAAAAAAGGGCTTACACAGCAGCTCCATTTTTCAGTAGAAGCTCCACGCAGTCCTTTCGGCCATAGCCAGCGGCATAGTGGAGTGGTGTGTTCTTATTCTTATCCAAAGCGTCCACTTTTGCACCAGCTTCCAAAAGAACTTGGGCACACTTAATCTGAAAACGGAATACAAATGGTTCAATCACCTCTGTGAAAGAAAGCTGATAAAGGTAGCATCTAAATCGGAGAACACAACCAAAAGTAAGTAAAAAAAAAGATATAAAATGGCCTGAGGTGCAGCCCAATTCTTTGTAAACATAAATGAAGCTATCTCTTATAACAATACCACCCCCTCAACATGTCAATTTCTGTAAATCTGAAACAATTTCGGGCAAAATTGAGGTATATTTCACTTAAAAAGAAATCTGGATTTTCTGGTAATTAATTCAAGAAAAAATTGGATGATGGTTGAGTGTAAATTGGTGTCATCAGATACCTCGCCATAACCACATGCAAAGTGTAACGCTGTTCTTCCCTCAGAATCTTCTTCATCTTTATTGCCACCATTAGCTAGAGCACTCTTTAAGCCCTAATATTACATTATGGGAAGAAGAAAAAAATATAAGAAAATAATAAGAAAAAAAAAAAACCACCACAATTCAAGTTAATTTTGAAATTAACTCCAAAATACACCATAACAACAACAGAAAAATATTCAAGTACAAAAACAACACGGAGGCATTCTGTAAAAGTGTAAAAGCTTTTCCATTGTCGATGGATGATTTTTCAATCTAGCAAACAATTATAAATCGTAATACAGTGGTGATTAGTATTACTCAGAAGCATGTTACCTCTACATCACCAACACTGGCAGTGTGGTGGACAATGGATTCGTCCTCATTTGCTTCCTCTGTTTCGTCTTCGGCTGATGTTCCGCTTTCTCCCCCGACAGCAAATCCCATGGCTTCCCCCAGTTTCTGGAGAACATCCTTGTCATTCCAGTACCTGCTTGCAAAACAGAAGAGAATGCATATTCAGGCATAGGATACAGGCAAAACTAACGGAAAAGAAACAGGAAAAGGCAAAAGGAACAAATCACTCTACAACTCAATCCACGTAAGTATATCCATTCTGAAATTCAAAATATCTTCCAATTTCTACATTAAATTTTTTTTCCCCCTCTTTTAGGGGGGTTGATATTGGTATGCTGCATTACTAAATGCTTGCACGAAGCTTAGCTGAAATCAAAGAACAAAAAATGGATTTGAATCTTGGAAAACAAGATTGATCACTATAAAAGAGAAGACATAGACCAATATAAATCACCCACTTCTGAAACAAGAATCAAGAATAGTGCATCTTCAAAGACGCGAACCATCTTGAACAGGGTACAAAAGGAGGAAATTAAACCAACCAGGTCAGAGAACTGATTGTTTTGATTGAAAAAAAATATATATATACAATGTCAAGGAATCATATAGGATAAAAACCTGAAAATTCTTAATATGCCAATGAAAGATTATACTAATGGGTATTGCGGTAGATGTAGAACTGCAATGAGAACCACAACAATTGGAATCTCAGAACATAGACAATGGAGCTACTTAAGCCGATCAAGCAAGTTTACAACAAAGCATAACCTTAATAAATTTAGTACTTATTTATAACTAAAACCACAAAAGAGTAGATGGCATATTTCATCGACATACTTAAAAAAATTTCAAATCGTTGCCGTGCACCCCAACCATATTCGACAGAACGCATTATACATTAGTATTTCAAGATGGGAAGTTATAAATTCTGTATAAACTAAGAAAACCAACCTCATCATTGCAGCAGGTCCACCATTCTCGATTTCATCCAAGATAGGCTTCAAAGATGGATCCTCCTTCACGCGCGCCATTCGTTCTTCAAGTTGGTCTTTATTGGCTGGATTTACCAAATTCTCAAGCATGCCAGACATGGCTGGATCCTGAGAAAATATAGAATGATGCACAATATTATGACATCCACAATTAAAATTACTTCCAGAGTGTCATGAACGGTATCAGACTAAGAAGTACCTGCATTAATGCACTGCCCAGCCTCTCTGCCATGGTCATAAATTGTGGGTTTTGCATTACTTGTTGCATGGTTGAGTAATACTGTTGTGTATCAATGCTGGGAATACCATCTTCCAGTGAAGCACCTTGAAAGGTTTTCTGCAGTTGTTCTGTCATCTGATTAAAAGAAGGGTCTTTTGCTATCTGTTCGGCTAATTCCTTGATGCTCGGGTCCTGCACACAAACAACAAGTTAAAACTAAAACTAGGGAACATTAAGAAAGCATAGCGAGAAGGAGAGACTCTATAGAGATATTATTATTACAGAAAGCTCCATTCTTGTAATTTTAGCGCAATAAAACGACATAAGCTTTGCAGCATATCCTCTCACAACTTAAAATGAAGTTTCAGTTCCTCATTCGTGAAGCATTACAGAAATTCACATATAAAATTTTTTTCCATTTAAAAGTTATGAGTGTAGCGAACGATAATTTAGTCAAACTGATACGAAAATCATAAAAGAAAAGGAACTGTTTAGGTTACCATGGCAAAAGCTATATGGTTGATGTTTAAGAAATTTTTCTAACCAGTTTATCCACTAGACTATAGTATTAGATTGACTCAGTGGCATGCTACGATGCCCCATCTACAATAACAATCTCAAATGAAAGACCAAACATGGATCAGGAAAAAATCTATACATTAAGCAATCCTGACATAGCTGAAAAATCAAACGGATTAGGCATCCCAGCTACAGGAGGAGGGGTAACACTTCTCTGGCCAGATGACGACTCCACCGCATTCGAAGTTTGAGCTGACTTCTTTTCTGAAGAAAAGAAAATGATCAACTATGTCTTTTTTTCCAATAGTAAAAACTTAAAAATAGGTAGTCCAATAACATCATTAAGACTACATAACACTGAAATATGAAAAGCCAATGATTAACTGCCCACTCATCAATTTCCCTATATTTGACCAGCTTTCGTGCTCAATAACATTCACCAGACAAACAGTATCCAAAAAAAAAAAATNAAAAAAAAAACAACTATCGGATTACTTCACCCAAAAAATAAAAAATTGCACGAGCTCAAATATAAGAGTGAAGGATATAAGCTCACCGTCTTTGGAGCTTAGAGGAGTTTTCGATGCCTGCAAAACCCCAGAAATTTTATAAAAAAATAACACAGAATCAGTACATCAGCTGCAAACACGTGCAAACAGTCCAAATTTAATTCAGCTGACGAAATTGATAAAAGAAAAATCAATCGGTAAATTTAAACAATCAGGATATGAAATTATGCAACGGAAAAAAGTAATAAGCGGTAGAAATTTTTAAGGCTTGACCATCAAAAGATGGAGGAAGAGGAATCAGCGAGCGAGAAGGGTAAACCGTACCAAAACTAGAAGAAGTAAAAAGCTAGTAAGGGATTCGGGACAGTACCTCGGACATGTTTGCTATAATCCGATGTAGAAACTGTTGGTGTTCGGATCCTTTGCTTGTAGAGATTTGCGGACTACGAATAAGGTAAAAGAACAAAGCTTTTAAGTTGTAAGTGAGCCACCTCAATAATCCTCATCACCGATTTCGATAAATGGTCAAATTCCTTTTTTTTTTTTTCTTTTTTAATTGCTTTCGCCATTTTTTTTTTTATTTTAATCGACTGGGTGGTATTTCTACATTCATCCGGGGACTCACCACAAACTCTCAAGCCACTACGGCCCTAACAGGCTACGGGATCCACGCCCAGAGGGGCGGGACTAATCCACCCAGGAGGTGCAAGTGCCCCATCCTACACCCCACGGTAAGTTGGGTTCGATCCCCCAACCTCTGGCATCAACAACACTTATGCCTCCACCATCAGCCGTTGGACTACATGCCCCAGGGGCAATTGCTTTCGTCATTTGGCATCCCCTATTTTCCTGATCTTTTTTTTTTTTTCCTATCTATTGTAATCCTTGTTTCATCCGAACTTACATTTTATGCCCCTTTGCTATTCTAGATTGGTCGGGATATCTTGAAGAATTCTTCCACACTTCGGCTTTTGTTTTCTTTTATTGCGGCCCGATGGATTGCACAACGCTCGATATTAATTGCGAATTATCCTTCATTCGAGTGATTGTTGGATGCTGACCTTTTTGGTATAATTACAACTATCCAAGCTTGTCTATCTATGTTTCACCCTCAACTTTTATATTTTCCGACTAGTCTACCATTCATAATCTCTTTATTTACATATGAAAAGGCAGAGGACACGGGAGCTTCTCACAAGCCCTAGCCGCTGACGATTGGAGAGCACAATCGAAAATCGTCCCTTGCTAGCTCATTAGCGATGAACTACCGCAAGAATCAAGGCGAAATTTACCTTCTTCTGCACTGTTTGGAGTTAATTATATTTTTGTTGTTTTCTTTGTTTAACCTGACAAAATTGGAAACCTAGGAGCATCAAGAACTTAATTGTTGTTTTTGCAATTAATTGTTATTACTTGATTGGTTTGTGTGTTAATTAGATTTATTTTTTACCAATTCAAAAACTTTCATCATCTGTTTTTTACAACGAATATTTTGGTCTTGTTATGTTGGAGGTTTTGTGTGTCAGTGAGTGTGTATGAATCGCTGCTATTGATTGACTGACTTATGTCGCAATTGTGTGTGCATAATTGTTGGAGTTCTATGAGGACGTCGAATTTATGCGGGTCACAAATTCGTCTACGAATTAAACCTAAGCGCAACGGAACTAGAGTTAATGTAAAACACTTACGATTTAAAACTTTTCCAAGACTCTGTACAGATAAAACGACTTACAGTGTTGGATGAATGGTTCTGAGTTGTTCTTCTCACCTCATCCACCCGTCTTGCCTTGGTCGTGGATCTGGGCCCCGTCTAGCCAGACTTCGGATTGTTGTGCCGCGGGCTTCAACAGGTCGCATGCGTCTACTTGTTGGGGTCACGCCTCACTATCGAGTGCGCCGGGTTGCCAGGGACTATTGCGCATGTCGTTGGGTGCCGCTTCGGGTTGCGCCTGACCTCGTGCGGTGGTCGTCGGGGTTGGGGCTGCTTGTGGTGGCCTCACAGTTGACTTGTGGTGGTCGCGCCATGGTCGTTGGGGATCGTCGGTGGTCACGGGGTTGCGTGCGGTGGTAAGGATGCCTCAATTTACCTCGAGGACTTCTGTTGTTGGTGTGTTTTTATTCTCTAATTGTAGAGTATGTTTATCGTGTATTCTCTCGTGGGAAGTTTGTGTTATTCTCCTGTGGAGAGTTTGTGTATTCTCATGTGGGAGATTTTTATGTCTTTTTTTCTTTTTGTAGTGTGTGTTGTGGTTTATAGGCTGTCTTGGGTAGTCTCCTATTCCGATTAGTTAGTCGGTTGTAATTATGTGTTTTATTTAATGAATCTATGATTTCGAAAAAAAATAATAATAAGCCATTACAATTATGCAATAACTGCAAGAAAAACACGGGACAAACTGAATGATAACGCCATCACTTGGCTATCATTGCCAAACTAATATTATTGAACTTCCATTACGTTCCGTCAAGTTCATAATAGCAGCAGAAATCAATGAAAAATACTGGTAGTGAATACAATGTTCATACTTTATATTCTTGATGCTCATCAAATCTTGCCCATATTTATCCACCACAAATTGATCTATGCATTGCCATTAGATCAGGACCATATCCAAAATCAGAGACCAAAATCAACACAAGTTAAACAGGATAAACCACCAACTAAGCCTAGAAATCCAACTCACATTTGAACCCTCGATCATCAATCAAATTTACAAACTCGATCATCAATCAAATCCACAAAACCTCTATATAATTCCATGTGAATATGAAACAGGAAAAATATTCTTAAATACATAATAGGATACAATTCGTGATCATTAACAACACACCTTATCAATAACATATAAATCACGATCAATAAAACCAAACCAAACAGAAGCGCTCGTGCCTTTTTTTTCTTAATTTGCCATATTTTCCATTATAAATTTTTTTAAGAATTTGGTAAAACCTAGGAAGGATGAACCTTTTTGGAGTTGGACGAAATTGCCCTTACAGCGGATCTCATAGAAGCAGTAGCAGAATTGACAGCCGCCTCAATATACTTGTTAGCAGCAAAAGACGCAGCCTTTTCGAGGTTTTTCCCCAATTTGCGGGCGTTGTCGGCAAGGCTGACCAGGCTGTCATGCTCGGCGGCGGCAGATCGGTCCATCTCCTCCTCGAAGCGGCGGAATTCGGCCATGGCGCTGTCCATCACCGAGTCCAGATACTCCTCGGACTCCCTCATCTCGTCGTGGGCCTCTTGGGCCTCGTTCTCGGCCTGGAGCTCGAGATTGGCCCAAGCCCGGTACGCCTCGACTTCGAACAGCTTCATGAGATCCTCGATTGTGGAGGGATCGAAGGTCTTGTCGCGCAGGGCCTGGTCCGACAGGAATGTGAACTCCGAGAACAGAGCTTCCATTTTTTATTTTTATTTTTTCCTATAAAAATGTTGGTTTTACTTTTGCGTAATGAATAAGTGGTGTGTGGACTGTGGGGTGGAGATGGGGAAATCAGAATAATTTAAAGAGACGTTATTCCTACCGATCTGCTTTATTGACGTCTTTTTTATTTATTTTAACTTTTCCTTTGTTTACCTGAGCTCAAAGGCGTGAAGAATGTATAAATATTGCAACTTTTTTGGAGATGGGCATATTTAGGTGAAAGTTGCAACTTTAGGTAACGGTAGGCGACCGCTGATTGTCGACCATACTAATCAGGCCACGAATTAAAAATTCCCCAAATAATTCTCTCGCCATGAGAGTCTCCTCTTCTTTGGGAGTTAAAATTCCGGCAGTCGGCTTAATCCTCCTTTTCAAGGAGTTTGATCCCCAGTTCTAAGATTTGCATTAGGTGAGTATTTCGTTTACTAGGTCAAGGTGTTTTTCAGGGATCCTCTTTGAGTTGAGTAAAAAGGTTCTTGTTTTGGGTTCTATTGCGTTTCCTTTGGTTTAAGGTTCTCTCCCGCTCCTCGATTTGCTTTTGGGAAACGGAATTAAGGTCTGAAGTATGGAGATGGATATTGCTTCGAAGCTCAACACCATTCACCTGTCGGAAAAAGAATCAGCAATAATTCCAATAGAAGAGGAAGATATTAGGGCAAGTGCGAATGAATGTGGCAGAAGCCTATTTGGGAAAGTCCTCGGTTCTAACAAAGTTAATCTACTGGGACTAAAGAGGGCAATGGGGCAAAATGTGGCAGATTAAAGCCTCGGTCACAATCAAAGAACTACAACCACATTTCTTCCAGTTCGTCAGAATTGGCAGACAAGCTCAAAGTGGCTAAAGGTATTAACTGGTCCTTTGACAATCAATTTCTTATCCTTAGAGAATGGGTAAAAGGACTAGGTCCAGATCATCACACCTTTAAGAAAATGGATATATGGGTTCAGGCTTGGAATGTTCCAATAAACTAGGTTTCAACTGAAGTAGGGTTAAAAATTGGTAGAGCCTTTAACAAAGTGAAGGATGTCTCCATTCCTCAAGGGGGGATATTAGTTGGAAAATGTTTGAGGATGCTTGTCACGGTGGATTTAGAACAACCCATTGTCAGGTGTGCTTACATTCAATTGGACGATAAAAGAATAGCGGTGGAACTGAAAAGGCTGGTGGGATTATGTTTCTATTGTGGTATAGTAGGACATCTCGATATGCATTGTGAGAAAAGAACAGAAGATATTGGCAAGGGTAGGCTGGCAGAGTGATTATATGGTGATTGGCTAAAAGCATTGGATCTTTATCACCCTAAAAATCCCAGTACTTTAGGCTCCCACTCTGACTCCCCACAACACTTGAACAACCAATTCCTGGAAAAAACAACTACCACTGACCAAAATTTATCACGCAACCCATCAACAGAAGTTTCAACTCAACCTACAAAGCCTCTCTCGAATCCACAAAACAACCATCCACCTCCTCAAACATTCCAAACCAAATAAAAAATCATTGCACTAAGACTTCAGAACCCTCTATCCCACCTCAAAATCACCCAAACATAACCTCAGAGCCTATTAACTCTCAACCAAAACAACAAAAAATAACCACAAAACCATCAAACTCAACCCCAAATCAGTTAAAATTCCCACCATAAGCCAACCCTAAAATTGTTGGGAGCAGCACCCAGGGGAAGAAACAGGTAGAGTTGGAGATCTGTGTATGGCAGATGTGATAGACTCTCAAGTACCAATCAAGGCAGAGGGGAGTACATCTGGAATAAAAAGAAGCTGGAAGAGGAGGTCTCTTCCTAGATCTCTTCTAGAAGGTCAAAAGAAGCAAGAGAAAAATTGCTATACAACCTGAAGAGCCAAATGAAGAATAGAAGAGTACATTGCCAAGCACCGAAAAGGTGAAAAACCAAAAATGTATTTGGAAGGGGTGTTGGTGTCCAGCCCAAATTGGCCCCTAAGCCCTCAATGAAGGTTGTGGTGTGGAACTGTAGAGGGCTGGGTGGGTCCTCTACAGTTTCCCAAATCAAGGAGGTTTATAGATTCCACCACCCGATTTTCATTGTCCTT